TCCAGCGCATATCCTCGTTCTTACCGTGTTGTATCCGTAGGGGCGGCCCCATGTAATTGTAAGGTTGACTGGAGTGCCTTCCCTCACGAACCCGGTACCTTACGTCTGTTCTTGTTTCTCTGTTGTTGTTGGTGTTGCTGCTTGCTGCTCAGTGCTGGGGGGCAGGCACGAATGTGGGAGAGTACTGGGGCCGCAAGGTACCATGAACCGATCAATGGATCCCGATGCTGGTAGCTTCTCCAGCTATTGTTGCTTTCTCCGCGACCTCGCCAAGCGTGAAGAGGTACCTTGCCAGCCTTGAACCTGGACCATACCTCACCTTCCTTGCACCGTTGTGAGTCCCGACCTGTTTTCCCTTACCTCACTTCACCTAAAGGTCACCTTACGAATAGCTCCCCGTACGGATACCTGCTGGGGCGAAACCGCAAATATTCTCTCGGGGTGAGTAAGGTGAGGTGAGAGATGAGGTAAGGCAACCTTTAGTAACCCGGCCCCAGCAACCAAGGCAAGTAATTGAGTGAGTAACTATTGGAGCCTCTGATGACTGCCCGGCCTTGAAGACGGGAGAAAGAGAGAAAGACGGGATGCTCTTGCCTCCAAGGTAAGGTAAGGTAGGTACGTATGTCTTCCCTGCCGTACCTTCCTTGCCGCGTCGCTACCGCTGTCGCCGTCCATGTCGCGCCGCTCTTTCCTCGCTTCTCTCTGGGCTCTCGTTCTCACACGCTGTTGCCGTGGGCGGACTAATACCGTCGCTTGCGGGTACGTAGTGGGGATCCCGATTGGGATGGATTGGCTTTTCCTTCCCTCTCTCTCAACTTCTGGGTCGCAAGGTAGGAAAGTGCAGTCGGCCGGATAGCTCGCTCGCTCGCTCCACGCCCACACCCGTCCCACGCCCATCCATGATCCACGGCCCACGCCCACGCCCACGTTTATCCACGCCCACACTTGAGCCTGCATCCACACCCACGTCCCAGTCAGTGGTCGCCTCTTTCTGGTCTGGTCTGGTTCTTGATTTGCTTTGGATGTTGCTGTTGCTGCGTCTGCTTCTGCTCCTGCCGCTCGTGTCTGCCTCTCTCCTACCCACGGCTCGTTTCTCTTAAGTAGCGAAGCTTCCACCCGCCTTCACCGGAACGCCTCTTTCCCTTCTCTTTCCTCCATCACCCACGAAGGCTGCCTATATAGATTGCCCTTCACATTCGTGTGGTGCTCAAACCTCTCTCCTCCATCTCTCCACTCTCCCCCTCATCACCTTTTCCTACGCGCTACCCTGCGACCTCACCAATTCAGTATTCCTAGGCCCGCCCTACGAAGAAGCACAAGCAGTACCTCGCCGTTTTCCTCGGACTTATCTTACCTATCAATTCCTATCCGCGACAACAAAAACCAACCTATTCGCGCATAATAAGCTTGAGCAGAGCTCGTCTGTCTCACTATAACCGCAATGGCCGACTCACACGCCGCCGCGGCCCCTGCTCTCAGCACGCCCATTGAGAGCCACAAGTTCGATGAGAAGGAACGCCCCGTTGATGCGCCCCCGGCCGCCAACCCCAAGGTCGAGGACGAGGAGGACGATGAGGACATTGACGCCCTGATTGAGGACCTTGAGTCCCAGGACGGTCACGTCGACGAGGAAGAAGAGGGTACGTCTTATTGAGCTCGAGTTGAGCAACTGTCTTACACAGGCAGTTGATGGCGCTTGCCAATGGCTCCTGTCGAGCAGATGCTCTCTCACCACCCGACACCTCAATTGACAGCTTGCTAACATCCTAACAGATGAAGGATCCCCTGGCATGGGACGTGTCGTCCCTGAGGAGCAGCTTCAGACTGACACTCGTCTCGGTCTGACTGAGCAGGAGGTCATTAACCGCCGTCGCAAGTGGGGTCGCAACGAGATGGCTGAGCAGAAGGAGAACCTTATCCTGAAGTTCTTCATGTTCTTCGTTGGTCCCATTCAATTCGTCATGGAGGCTGCCGCCGTCCTTGCCGCTGGTCTTGAGGATTGGGTCGATTTCGGTGTCATTTGCGGTCTTTTGCTGCTTAACGCCGCTGTCGGTTTCGTCCAGGAATTCCAGGCCGGATCTGTAAGTCAACATCGCCCCACACCACTGGCACGCGTTGCCAAGGGTGCCTCAAGGCCACATTACTGATTGCCTCCACCACAGATTGTTGCCGAACTCAAGAAGACTCTCGCCCTCAAGGCTGTTGTTCTCCGTGACGGCACCCTCAAGGAGGTTGAGGCCCCCGAAGTCGTTCCCGGTGATATCCTCCAGGTTGAGGAGGGTACCATTATCCCCGCTGATGGTCGCATTGTCACCGAGGATGCCTTCCTCCAGGTCGATCAGTCCGCCATCACTGGTGAGTCCCTCGCCGTCGACAAGCACCGCAACGACAACTGCTACGCTTCTTCCGCTGTCAAGCGTGGTGAGGCCTTCGTCATCGTCACCGCCACTGGTGACAACACCTTCGTCGGTCGCGCTGCCGCCCTTGTCAACGCTGCCTCCGCTGGATCTGGTCACTTCACTGAGGTGTTGAACGGCATCGGTACCATTCTGTTGGTTCTTGTCATCTTCACTCTTCTTATCGTCTGGGTTTCTTCCTTCTACCGCTCCAACGGCATTGTCGACATCCTTCGTTTCACCCTCGCCATTACCATTATCGGTGTCCCCGTCGGTCTTCCCGCCGTCGTCACCACCACCATGGCTGTCGGTGCTGCTTACCTCGCCAAGAAGAAGGCAATTGTCCAGAAGCTGTCCGCCATTGAGTCCCTGGCTGGTGTCGAGATTCTCTGCTCTGACAAGACCGGTACCCTGACCAAGAACAAGCTCTCTCTTGCCGAGCCCTACACCGTCGCCGGTGTTGATCCCGAGGACCTCATGCTTACTGCTTGCTTGGCCGCTTCCCGCAAGAAGAAGGGTATGGACGCCATTGACAAGGCTTTCTTGAAGTCGCTCCGCTACTACCCCCGCGCCAAGTCTGTCCTGTCCAAGTACAAGGTCATTGAGTTCTTCCCCTTCGACCCCGTCTCCAAGAAGGTCACTGCCCTCGTCGAGTCCCCCGCTGGTGAGCGCATTACCTGCGTCAAGGGTGCTCCCCTTTTCGTTCTCAAGACCGTCGAGCAGGACCACGAGATCCCCGAGGAGATTGACCAGGCCTACAAGAACAAGGTTGCTGAGTTCGCCACCCGTGGCTTCCGCTCTCTCGGTGTTGCCCGCAAGCGTGGTGACCACGGTGCCTGGGAGATTCTCGGAATCATGCCCTGCTCTGACCCCCCTCGCCACGATACTGCCCGCACTGTTAACGAGGCCAAGTCTCTCGGTCTGTCCATCAAGATGTTGACTGGTGACGCCGTCGGTATCGCTCGTGAGACTTCCCGCCAGCTCGGTCTCGGCACCAACATCTACAACGCTGAGCGTCTCGGTCTCGGTGGCGGTGGTGACATGCCCGGTTCCGAGGTCTACGACTTCGTCGAGGCTGCCGATGGTTTCGCCGAGGTCTTCCCCCAGCACAAGTACAACGTCGTCGAGATTCTTCAGCAGCGTGGCTACCTTGTTGCCATGACTGGTGACGGTGTCAACGATGCTCCCTCGCTGAAGAAGGCTGACACTGGTATCGCCGTCGAGGGTGCCTCTGACGCCGCTCGCTCCGCCGCCGACATTGTCTTCCTTGCCCCCGGTCTTGGCGCCATCATCGACGCCCTCAAGACTTCCCGCCAGATTTTCCACCGCATGTACGCCTACGTCGTCTACCGTATCGCCCTGTCCATCCACTTGGAGATCTACCTTGGTCTGTGGATTGCCATCCTCAACCGTTCCCTGAACATCGAGTTGGTCGTCTTCATTGCCATTTTCGCCGATATCGCCACCCTGGCCATTGCCTACGACAACGCCCCCTTCTCCAAGTCCCCCGTCAAGTGGAACCTGCCCAAGCTCTGGGGTATGTCCGTCCTCCTCGGTATCGTCCTTGCCGTCGGTACCTGGATCACTGTCACCACCATGTACGCCCACCCCAACGGTGGTATTATCCAGAACTTCGGTAACCTCGACGAGGTTGTCTTCCTTGAGGTCTCCCTCACCGAGAACTGGCTCATCTTCATCACCCGTGCCAACGGCCCCTTCTGGTCCTCTATCCCCTCGTGGCAGCTGTCTGGCGCCATCTTGGTCGTCGATATCCTTGCCACCTGCTTCTGTATCTGGGGTTTCTTCGAGGGTGGTCAGCAGACCTCCATTGTTGCCGTCGTCCGTATCTGGATTTTCTCATTCGGTGTCTTCTGCGTCTGTGCTGGTGTATACTACATGCTCCAGGACAGCACCGGTTTCGACAACCTGATGCACGGCAAGTCCCCCAAGGGTAACCAGAAGCAGCGCTCGCTCGAGGACTTTGGTAAGTTTTATATCCCCCAATCTACCCCACACTATGTGTCTTGTTACAGAATAGCGGCTAACCGTTTCATCAGTCGTCTCCCTGCAGCGTGTCTCCACCCAGCACGAGAAGTCGCAGTAAAGAGGAATCTCTTGGCAGAGTCGGGCTTGACTACGACGCTACTTGCGCCGTTCCATTGCTCCGTCGACTCCGCGGGATGATCTCCCTGGGCCTGTTGAATCTGGCCCCTATTGAGACCGGAGGAGACGTGGACTTGTGCCCACGAAATTCATCTTTCTCTATGTTTAAAATTGTACGATGAACTTCATCGGTAATTACTGTGATCGAGCTGGAGCGAGAGAGGAGGGGTATACCCTAGTGCGTTGATAGACCTAATACAAATCGTTAAATCAAGTGAACTACATGTCTCACGCACTGTTTGAATATGTAAATGATAGGGATCAACATCGTTCATAACCTGGTGTCATGGTGTCTTTCTTGATCCTTGGCATTGTCTGCTGCCCCAAACGTCCAATGGTGCATACATATATGTACGGTTATGTGTGACATGTCACTTCTAATAAGAGTTTGTAGCTTTTTTTTAGAGCAATAATTTGAATTATGTAGTCACGTGATCTACCTTACTGAGGCACGACAACGTCCTTGGAAGTATCCAGCTCCTCATGTCTTCTCAGGTCCATTGGGCGGTCGAGCAAAGGTACAACATAGGGGTCAAAGGTCTTCCAGTAAGGGTTCTCGAGGTGGTACTTTTGGCTCTGCACGGGGGGGGATCAGCACATGTGTCAAGCTCTGAAGTTGGGGCGTTTAGGAAGGGATGGAGGAAGTGTTGGGGTTGCGAGGCTTTTTGCAAGTTGGTGTATCTGCGTATGTATGCGAGGGGTTTCTTACATATTCCGTCTCGAAGCGCTCGACAATGGTGAAGGACCTGGGGTCGTGGACGTCCTGCATGACGAACCAGCTGACGGTCTCGCGGTCCTTGGAGTAGACGCGCGAGGCCTCGATGAGCTTCGCCTTTATGCGTTCGACCGAGTCCGGGTGGTCGTTTGCGTGGAGGTGGACGGTGAGTGTGTAGACCATGTTGGGCTATTTCAGGTTGGTAGGTGAGTAGGTAGGGTGGGATGTCGGAGGCTAGGTATGGTTATGGAGAGCAATTGCTTCGAGAAGGAGTCGAGTTCGAGCTTTGTGTGATGATGATGCTTGGAAGGATGTTGAGGGAGGGAGAGGGAGATGGAGCTTGGAGGGGGTAGCTATCTGGATTTGGGAGGTGAGGGGTTGGAGGGGCAAGGTTTTGGAGGGGGGGCTGCAGCTGGCGGATGGAGCTGGAGCTGGAGCTGATGGGGCTTTTGAGTGGAGAGTGGTGCTGTTAGTAAGGTACTATATGGAGATTTCGTAGTTATCACGGAAGCAGAGGCCAATTTGACACAGCATGTTCAGAATGTATAGAGGGGGTTGGTTTCGAATGTTTGGCCTTGTCTATGAATCTTTAGTTTCTGAGGAAAAAACGTGGTTGTGCCAATTGCTTGCTGTTGAGGTAAGGGCATTCGCCAGTCTAGGTGGGCTATGGAGGGGGATTAGCATTTCACGATGGTTCAAGTACAGGGCCAGGTTCAGATTGAACCCGACGTGTCAATTACATATCACGGTGACAAATTATGAGAAAAGACTCAATTGGAACCATGACAAGTTTTTCTATTGCGATTGAGATATCATCATCTCGATTCAATCGTGGTATGCTTGATACTGCTCCATTCCTCCTGGAGGAGTCTACACGGAGACCAGGCATGGGCTTCTATGGCATCAGTTAATGGAACATTATTGCTATACCTTTGCCAACGGCAACGATTGCAGCAACTCACACGACACGCAGTCAGCTAAGGCGTGGAAGGTATGTCGGATTACATGGTGAACAACCTCCTTCCTCTCGATCGGAGCAGCCGTCTGAGGCTGGCAGGTCAGGTACCTTGGTTCAGCACCAGACGTGCATACTATCATGGCCAAGCTTTTTGAAGGAGGTAGAGTATCTTAGACTAGGTAAGGTATACTGCGTACTAGAGGATGGTGTCGAGAATTGCCAAGTCATCGGTTCAGCCGTTACTTTCGCCGGGGGGGGGGGGGCTACAAGTTCGACCACGTACTTCCCCGGCTGCGTGTGTTTGAGTGTCCGTGGTGCTTGACGCCGGCCGACGATTCCAGCGATTGATGGGACAGATCAGCCGCGGACATATCCAACCTAAGGTACCTAATTGTGAAGCTATCTCACCTTAGCGTCGAATCTCGCTGTAAATTTCTGCCCTTTCACAGCAGGTGGTGATGGTGGGTGAGGTGGTTGATGCATTGAATCGCTCCTCCCCGCACACGGCGGCGGCATTTGGGAGGGTGGGGTGTCGAATCTAGCGCCTTAGCTTGCCGTAGGTTCACTGCGGCTTCAGTGATAACACCGCAGAATCAGCGAGGTTAGTGGCCTTGATTATGCGGTGTGACACACCAAACGACCTGACGCTGCCACTCTCAGAGGATGGAAGGAACGGCATGTTCACCGCGAAAGTGGGTTCCTACTACCGGCTCCGGAAGACAAACGCACACCTCCCACCCCCCCACTCTTTTCCATCTTTTTTTTTTTTTCTTCCGCCTGCTTCTGTCGGGGAAAGGAACTGCTTCACACTGATACTCGGCGCCACCGACGCCATCATCAACCCTTGGACCATCCCACACAAGCAACCAAGCCCATCACCAACTCGCAATATCCAATCCTCTTTGTCATCGTCACGACGATACGATATCGCACCGGTGTTTCTCATGCACAATTCCATCCCGCATATCTGAACCACCCCCCTCCCCGGACCATCCACATCTGCCCCCCAACACACGTGCAGATTGACCACTTACACCCACTCCCGCCACGAACAAAGCACACCATCCCGCAAGACCGTCCACAGTGTTCCTGGATAGTCAATTCGACTGTGCCTTGAGCCTTGTCTAGATCTCGAGTCCGAGACGGAGCTAGTGCCGATAATTCTTCTTTATCCGTTTCCTCTTTGGGACAACCCATCTTCCAAATCTCTGAGATTTCTTGGTCTTTCCAACCACCTCAAGGCTCAACCTCCCATCTTTTGGACCCCTACCTTACACAAGGCAGGCTTTCCACCCCATTGCCTCGGAGCCGAGGCCGCGTAGCCATTGCGGCGGACCGAACCCCGGACAGAAAGAAACCATCATGGCACCTCAGCCGCGGATGCAAATCCCCGGGTATTACTACGGTACTACTCACACGCCCCTCCCAAGTCTTACACCACTATACTCTGTCTTGGTTCCTTTGACCACACAGTCTGTCCTTTCACTTGAACCGTACCTTTCAACGGACCAGCCGGCTGACTCGGGAAAATTCCATCCTAGATGAGGAAAAGGGCAAATATTTCAAAATCGAAAAAGGCGCCTCGGCACCGCAGACCGCCGCCTGGTCCGCCGACAATGTCAAGCGCCGGAAGATCCAGCACCGCGAGGCCGAGGCCGTCGCCGCCCGCCGGGAGCGGCTAAAGCGGCACATTGTCCGGTCCGCCGCGCTACGGGCCCCGCTCATCGGCGGCGTTTTGGACGTCGAGCTTGGCGTACGCCGTGAAGAGAGGGCGAGGCTGCGCGTCGACGGTGCGTTCGGCGTCGAGGATGTTCCTGCCGCGGCGTGGGCCCGGGGGCTCGTTGACAAGGGTGAGGTGCCGTTCGTGCCTAGCTTTGCGAGGCAGAGTTTCCCGAATATCCCCTGTTTCTATGTTGGCGGTGATGATGAGAAGACGGGACTTGGGGTTGCGTATGCGAGTGAGTTTGAGCTCTGCCCCCTGGATTATAACTGTGAGGTTGTGTTCTAAATTTGGTAGCTTTGGACGAGGAAACTCTGATAGGGTCTTACATTCCCACGGATGACAATGAGAGGTGAGCAGCCAGGTGAATGCCATGGCTCAGAGTGAGAACTGACAGCAGCAGGATATCCTTCAGTACTGATGCCTCGAGCCGTCCTGAACGCCGACTATCACATCGTCACGAGATGATAGGCTGTCCCCAGATCTCATCCATCAACTATCACCCACATTCGCATCGCATAATCGTTACATCCCGCGAGCCAAGTAACACTTGCGACATCTACCTCTTTTCACCTCCCAAATCCGCTCGCAACGACGACCGACCTCTCTGGTTACTCGACAGAGGTAAATCCTCCCCTCTGCCCTGTGCCCCCTTACACCTTTCTTTCTAACGCAGACCGCGTGTAGCAAACAACCTCCGCCACATCTCCTTCAACACAGGCCGCCGCGAAGGCGTCGTAAACCAAACAACCCCCGCGCCACCCTCCTCCTCCTCCCTAACCTGCATCATCGGCACCTCGTACGGTCTTTTAAAACTCACCTCGGACGAGCGCATCCACTGGCTCGGCCCGCCGCGCCCTCGACCCGGCCCAGCAGAGGGCTACTTCTTCGACCAGACCTTCCTCCCCTCCAACCCAAACGTCCTCCTCGCCGGTGGCCGCAACCGCGACGTCAGGCTGATCGACCTGCGCGTAAAGTGGTCCGAGTGGGATAACATCCCCGTCGGCGCCACGGCGCACCTGCGCGCCGTGAACCCGCACCAGTTCCTCGCCGCGGGGCCGAGGTCCAAGATGGCGCTGTTCGATCTGCGGTACCGCAAGGCGAAGCCCAACGGGACGAAGCCGGTTGTGGAGTTCCCGGGTTTCCGGAACGAGGCGCACATGCATTTCGGGTGGGATGTTAATGTCGATTCGGGTGTTGTTGCCGCGGCGCATGATGATGGGCGGCTGGGGCTGTATTCGCTGCTGTCTGGGCGGAGGTTGCGGTGTCCTGCTGTGGATGCTGTTAAGGCGAGGACGCCGGTGAAGAGTTGCCAGTTTCAGAAGATGCCTGGGCGGCGGCACGCGAGTTTGTTTGCGGGCGTGGGACCGAACTTGAAGATGTTTTCGGTTGGGGCTTTGGGGGTTGATGAAGAGTGTTGAGGCACATGAGATGGAAAGTTGGATAGAACGATGAGCCCTAGGATTACGAGCTCACATGGACACGGCTGTCTTGGTAGCCAAACTGGGACGGTCGTCAGTTTGGCTGTTGAAAAAATCATGTTTACCGCACCTTGATGCGTTATTGACGATGATGAAGGTGAACTCGAGGCAGCTGCATGGAGAACAACAACATTCCGAGCTTAGCCTTCCTCATACAGCCCTATTCCTCGCCTCATAGAATACGGCATACTCGGGTAAGGTAAGGAAGCTTGGTTAGCAGATTTGAAAGCCAATCTTCCAGCATCACCATGGTCAGGAGACACCAATGTCAGCGAAGGGCCGACGCTGGGTTCCTACCTCCCTGACCCCCTATTTTTTCAGAATGTAAACTTGGTCAACTTTAAAACCATTCGGCTATATCTTTTTAACTGTTCTTTCTTTTCCCTTTTGATGTGGTTTACGGAGTTCGGGCACTTGAAGTACAATTTTTCTTCGAACCAAAATACATCTCTCGAGGGCCAACATTGCATGAGCTTCTGCTTTATACATGAGCTTCTGCTTTATACTCGGCAACAAGTCCATTTTACTCCATGCTATTCTCTTATCCTCCCTCCCCCCCCCCCCTTAACCACATTCCAATGTGTTAAAGCCCAACTTCCCAAATTCCACCTTTAGGAAGTCGCCTGAGGGAGTGTATCAGTGCCAGGCGAGACCGGCGCGGAAGCAGGCGAAGCCGGAGCGACGGGTGTAGTAGCCGCAGCCGAAGGCGAAGGGGAAGCCGCCACAAGAGAAGTAGGAGAAAGATGAGGCTCGGCAACAGATGCAGGAGCAGGAGCAGAAACAACGACAGGGACAACATCCCTCCCATCGACATCAACCACGACAACCAGTTTGAGTCCCGTAGGTCCACGGATCCACTCCAGCATCCCGCCCAGCGCTGCCTCGGGGATTGTATCCAGGCGAGCTTCTCTAATGACGTCTGAGACCACGGGTCTACCACCACCACCACCGATGGTAGAGGTGGGCACGTTTACGTTGACGAAGCTGAGCTGGGGCGAACCACCTCCCATGATCCACGTCTGCTGTCCGGCGGAGACAATGGTTGGGTATGTAGGCTGCTGCTGCGTGGTAGGGTTGCCGTAGGAGTGGAGGTAGTTTACGCCGTTGGAGTATGTCATGGCCAAAGGCATAGTCGGCTTCATCATCATCATCTGGGACAGCGGCAGCGGCTGAGGAGGCTGGATGAGTGCGGGGTACCCGACGTTGAAGGTCATTAGGTGGGGAGGAGCCTGCTGCTGCCATACAGGCATCGTGACCGAGGCAGTGGCCGAGATGCTGCTGCTGCCGCCATCACCGGGAATCGACACGACGCGGCCGGTGCGGGAGGTCCAGTAGAGCGTGATCTGGTCCTCGACGATGGGGTCTGCGCGGCCTAGGCGGGTGACGGAGGCACGGACGAGGAAGAGGAGTTGGGCTTTTGTGGCGGTTGAGGGGGAGAGGCGGAGGTGGAAGCTTCGGGTCCAGCCTGGCGAGAAGGAGGAGGATGGGTTCGAGTAGATGTGTATCTCTAGGACGATTGTGGCTTCTTCTGCCATGGCTTCTTTGTTCTGTATTTCCTCGAGATGGTTAGAATACTCTCTACTATTTGTTTGTTGGTCTCTTGTTTGTCGAGAGGGAGTGGAGATCAAGGGGATGGGGGTTGAGAGGGTCGGAGACTTACTTTGGAGCGAGTGACGATCCCCTTTTGTTGGTGTTTTGTTGTGTAGAGAGAGGAGATAGTTGAAAGGGTTGCTTTGGTCCGAAAAGGTCTTTTGGCAATTATGGAATTAGCCAGGGAAAGAATCAAGAGGGTTAGTGCCTTTGGAGCGGAGAAAAAGGGTTACTCGTGGAGATCTGCAACCTCTACACGAATTGTGATTAAAGGAGGATTCTTTAGTATGGACTGTGTGATTCAGCACCTTGGACTTTGCGAGCGTCAGGATCCGCTCTCACAGGACGATCTACTAAGTATGATTCACTTTACATACACACAGCCCGTGGATATCTGAGGAGGAAGACATGATTGACTGACGTGAAGGTGTCTCTCTTGATGTGTTATATGCCCTGTTATGTGTGCTTGTCGATGGCATCAGGGGAGTTTTGGTGGTGTGATGTTGCATTTACTGAATTGTCTGCTTCTAGGTCAGATGTACTTTTGGCATTTGAGTTTTGAACGTCAAGATTTCTCGGCCTGCTCTGAGCCTATGTTCGTGCTCGGTGTACGTGTACCTCAAGTTACGTTATATCGTATTTGGCATGAGTAAATCCTGCCAGGGCGGGGGTTATGTGTAGAAACCAAGACAGATTCCCACGGTGTAATTAATTTTGCATAGAAACAACATTAAAAACGAAGTATCTGTGGGAGATAGGAGAGAAGAGACCCTTTTGCCCTTCAACCGGACTAGTCGATGAATGATAGCGTCTGTTGAAGCATAAGAAGAGAAGAAGAAGTGATCTCTCATTGGGCGATAGCCCACGAATTCAAAATGATGGCCCGCAAATTCAACATCACCACCCCCTGAAATCGACCAGAATCGATATCAAAAGCCTCCTGACCGATCATGAAATACAGCCAGGACGTGAGACCGTACCCAGATGCCTTGACAACAAACATAACATCAACACGAGCGAAAGAACCAGGGCTAATATTGATGAACATCTCCCCTTAGATTGCGCAATTGCGTATATATCGAAGATTAAGTGCCGTGTTATTTTTCCAATCCGCCTCCCGTACGCCGCCGTCTGTACCACAAAAAGAGGCCCCCCTCCCTTTCCTAACCCTAATTCTTGGTGAGATAGAAATAAGCCAAGCAATATGGCTTTACCCATGATGACTACTGTCAAAAGGTACGCCGTATGAGTGATATATACCTCACGTGAACGCCATGGGAAAGAAACCGTTCCCTCCCCGCTTTCCCTTTAAAAGCCTTGAAAAACCCCTATGTACCGAGTGAAAAGTGCAAAGAGTGTGAAAAAAGATGATCCCATGGCCGAGAAGTTGATCTCTCGTCGACTCGGTCATGTCCACCAAAAGACCCATGGTGTAACCAAGTTCCGTAGGCCAAGCCAGCTCACTCCTTCAAATTATACGTCTCTCTCAGCTTAGGAAACGTCTGGTTGAAAGCTTGGCCCAACGTCCAATTCTCCAGCCTCCGCAGGTGCCGCTCAAAGACGGGGTTAATCAGCACCTCATCCGACTCCGGCACCTGCAGCAGCGTATCCGTCTCCTCGTACGGCCAGTTGAGGCTCAGCGTCGTGGTGAACGGCACAAAGAAGTTGTCAAAGAGGTACTCGCGCGGGTTATAGTCGCGGCACAGCTTATCGCGCATCGCGGGGAACGGCACGTGGTCGATCCAGGCCGGGTGCTCTGTAAACAGCTGCGTGGGGCGAGGGCGCGCCCACTCGGGCAGGCGGTCGTAGTTTTCTTGCGTGGGGGAGATTTGCCAGCGCATGATGAGGAACATGATGTAGAGGACGACGACGCGCTGCGGGAGGGCGGACAGGTCGGGGAAGGTGGCGAGGATGTCGGTGAAGACTTTGGAGAGCGGGTGGGAGTATTTGCTGTTCGCCGGGTTGAGGAGGGAGAGCACGCTGGGGTAGCGCGGGCCGATGATTTCGTGGGTGGAGAGGCCGTCGGCGGCGCGTTGGCGGCGCTCGTGGAGGAAGTCTAGGAGGAGGCTGTCGAGGGGGCAGGTTGGGCCGCAGTTTTTTACTTCGGCTGTGTGGTGGCCTAGGGCTCGGGATTCGGGGGGGCGGAGGATGACGGCTGCTGTCCTTGCTGCTGGCCTTGAGACTGCTGAGGATAGTCTACCTGTGACCGCGGGGTGTGGACGGTCGGTCCGCTGAGCGAGGGGCTCCGGCTGTGTGTGACGGGACCGACGCCGGTCCAGTCATGCTTCATGGGCACGTGGTTGTAGCTCGGCGTGTCCTGGGCGCCGTTGACGCCGCTCTGGATCTTGCCGACACGGGCGTTCTGGTCGAGGAGGAGGAAGTCCAGGCCGAGCTTCTCCGGGCCGAAGTCGAGGCCGTGGCGGAGCCCTTGCCGCTGCTGGTCGAGCATCTTGCTCGCGGCGTACATGTGGTTCGGGGGAGATAGATCCGGGACGCCACCTCCACCACCACCGCCGCCGCCGCCGCTGCCGTTGGGCGTCGTTTGCCAGCCGGCGGTCGGGTCGATGGAGGCGGGAGAGGCCGCGCTGTTGGGCGTCGAGGCATTGTGCGCCGAGATGGGCCCGTTGTGCTGGTGGACGTGGGAGTAGCTGCCGCTGGGGGATGGGAAGACGGCAGGGTGCGGGTCTGCCGGCGGCGGTGGCGCTGTGTTTGATATGGTGTTAGTCAAAGATACACATACGTCCACGAGCGTAACGGATTCACGAGATGTGAACACGAGGAAGGGACTTACGTTGGTTCGGTGGAGAAGTAGAGATGAAAGGCTGAATAGAGGCGATGAAGGCAGCCAGGCGGCGCTTCAGGTCCGCGTTCTCGGCCTCGACGGCCTCCTTGGCCCTCTGGACGGCCTGCAGCTCCTGGTAGGGCTGCTGGGAGGTCAGCTCCTGGATACGGCGTTCCAGGGTCTCGATCTGGTTCTTTGTGCGCTCGCGGATGGCTCGCTGGGCTTCCCTGTCTGATCGGGGCCGATGGGAACTTCGGTTAGCGGGTGTGTCGTCATCGAGGTGGGAAGGGGAGAGGAGGGGTCAGTCAATGTTGTGGAGAAAGATGTATGTGTACGAGGGTGATGTGCAGTGAGTGGACAGGGGGTGGTGAGGACGACAGCGAGCACTAGTTTCGAAGGAATGCTGAAATGGGATGGAAGATGAAAATCACGGAGTACGAGAAGCCATGGTGCAATGAGGCATGGTGAGATGAGCGAGTGAGCAAAGACAAGTTGTGCTTACCGTTGGCGCGCTTCTTGGCTAGTTGCTCCGGCGTCAGGTTGGCGACGCCCCTGGAGCCAGGACCGACACGGCGTTTCTTGTTGGAGTCGCCGGGTGGTTGAGAAGCGGGCGACGTGCCGGCGCCGGCCGGAGTGACAACTTCGGCATTCCCGGGGCCAGCCGGGCTTGGATGGTCCGGAGCACTACGCTTATTACTATTGTAATTCAGGCCGGGGGTCACCGATGAAGCCACGGAGCCGGCAGGACTTGGGTGGTTGGCGGCATCGGAGGCCATGGGAAGTCGGAAGGCCGGCGTGGGGGGCGGACGCGGAAGCGGACACGGGACGGTATGGCAGGGAAAAAGGGAAGAGAGAGGAAGGCGGGGACGTTGGTGTCAGTGCCGCGTCACCGGGTGTCCACCTCAGGTCAGACTCGGCTCGGTCAGAGAGCCGGTGCTGCCCGTGATCGAGCGGCAGCGGGCGAGAGGCATAGGCCTATCCGTACCGTACTACCGTCAAGTGTGTGGATCAGCACGGAGTGGAATATGGGCGGAGTAGCTGTCCGGGAATCCGGGATTGGCAAGGTGATGGTCGGGCCCCTCGCTGGTTTCTTCTGCGGCCGGGCCCCTGCTTGTTTTCAGGGCCTCTTTTTCTTTCTTTGGGAAGCCCGATGGGCTCTTGGAGCATTTGCCGATTGCCGGTTCAGCCTAGGGCTCCAGTCTCGTCCTCTTTCTGTTAGCGCAAGGGTTGAGCGGCAGAATGACAGGTGACAGGCTTCCTGGGGAGGGACCAGCAATGCAGCGACAGCGGAGCTCTGGGCAGCAGGAGAATTTTTTGGTGGTACGCGAGAGGGGGGGAATGGTGTGAGTCTTTTCGCGGTCGGGGGATCGGGTAACCGTACGGATAGATTGTGCCTTGGAAAGCCTTGGAAAGGGGACAGGAACAGGCGAATGGGAGGGAGAGATAATGAATCATTCAGATCTTGCTGGACGGCTTCGGAGGGTCGAGATCCCGAGTCATGAGTGGCTCAGTCGACTGAGAAGAATGGAGCTAAGCCTCGGGCATTTCTGCCGCAGACAAGGGTGTGTGTGTGTGTGCTTGTGTTCACAGTTTCCGGCGGGATGCAGCTTTGTGTGTTGAAGGATTCCTAGAGTTTTGGTTTTGTTCGTTTTGTCTTGTTTGGAAACCCGAACAGCGAGAGGCTGCAAGTCTGTAGTTTGTGCAAGTGATACCGTGCTCCGTACACGTGTGATTGAGGGAAAACATGAGACCAAGAGGAGGAGGAGAAGGAACTCAAATTGGATGGTTAAGTTGGAATAAAGTTTACAGTTTGCTGGCAGAGAGGCTGACCTGCTGCTGCTAATGTCTTGAAGCGGTGAAATTCTCCGCTACCGTGCTCTGGATTTCATCGTGCACAAACTTTGGTACGGATAACTTGGACAAAGTTGCCCAAGTCATCCCTGTATAGTACAGATGCTCAAGTTATTCAGGCGGCATACCTCGAACTGTGAGGAGTACCCTCCATTTTGTGCATCAAAGCCCAACACATGAGTGGACTCTTATGCACAGACCCGTCCGATATATGCAACTTGTGAAAGCCTTCAAGTTTGCACTACTTCGACGGTCTAGACTCGGGATTTTGAACTCCCAGAGGCTGAAGCTCTGATGACATGCATACGCCACCACAAGTCTCACTACTTTTTCCTGATTTCACATGTTGGATGGTCATTGACAAAGAGACCCTTCCAATGATCGAGAACAACAAGTGCATTCTAGACTTCGCGAAACTAATCACATGTACTGCTGCTTCGAGACTGCTCCATACCTGTAACAGACTTATAGACAGGCGTAATGAGTAAACCTGCGCCAAAGTGGGTATCCATTGAAAGAAAGAAAATAAAAACGGAAAGAGGATGTCATAGTGATCGTCAGCCTCGTCAGTAACCAGAGCCCCAAAGCCTCCCCTCCATTTCTCCCTCAAGCCTTCATCGCCTCCACGAACAACTCCCGCATCCCCTTGAGCAGCACCGCCAGCTCCCTCGTCTCATTAAGCTGGTCCAGCACCCTCTCCACCCTCTCCCGCTCCAGCTTGGGCCGGCAGTGCCGGACATCGTAGTCCCGGCTCGCCGTGTTGAGCTCGAACCACGCCTCCCGCTCCCAGTCCTGGTCGTCGACGTACGTGTACACAAACTTGAGCCGGTCGTCCTTGCCTGCGCCCTCGATCCGCAAACCCAGGTTCTGCTGCCAGAACTCGAGCTCGGGCACGTTGAAGCGCGACTGCGCCTCGAGCTGCTTCGCGTGCGCCCGCTGCGCCGCCAGCCGGGCGTCAATCTCTTTTTGCGTCTCCTCGATTTGCTTCTTGAGCGCGTCCCGCGTCGCCAGGTGCTTGTCGCGCTCTTCCGACAGCTGCGCGATCGAAGCCTGCATCTCGCGCGTCTCGGCCTTTTCTTTGGCTACGGTTTGTTGGTGGGTGCTCGTCTTGAGTTGTAGGATCTCAATGTCCTTCTTTTTCATGCGCTGGTCCTCTGCGGGTCATAGTATGTGAGCGTTTGTTTTCCTTGCCCGATTCGCCGCCTTGTAATGCCTCGAGCTCGATTCCGAGTGCTCCCTTCCCTTTTCCCCGACGTACCTTGTAGTTCTGCCACATTCATGCGGAATTCGTTTCGCTCCTCCAAAACGCGCTTGCGACCCTGTTCGATAAAGGCGTCAAACTTTGAGGTGAACTTGGTCATGCGATCGCGAAGCTCTTCGAAGCCAAAGTTGGCGTTTGGCAGCGTCTCGGCGACGGATGGGGTCGCCATCAGCGACTGGCGGTTGATGCTGGCGGACAGCGACGATTCTCGAAATGCGGAAGACATGGTGGGTGGTTTTCTTTTCGGGATTGCGTTCTTGTGAATCCGGTATTTGGAAGTTGCAGCCGTGAATGATCTCGAGTACTGTCAATATCGCAGTTGCATATGACGTGCGGCAGGAGTTCAGGCGATGGTGGGATAAATTGGTTGTGGTCGCAATCTTTAGCTGTTTATTCAGCGCGTTGCTATGTCAACAATCTCGTCGCAGAAAAGAAGGCTGATGACTAAGAAGATATGCTGACTCAGCCATGTCTGCATATCACTTGATTTCCAGAGCACCATCCAGCAATAGCTGTTATTCATGATGGCTACCTTGGCATAATTTTTTGCAAGATCTCCCATTGCACTATATGATAATCATCCCTATTCTGCGACTTGTCTTATCGCAAAAGTCGTCGATTCTTCCGTCACTGATCACACAAAATACAACTGATGACATACAGCCGTGAACGGAGGAAGTATGTATTTGACAGACGTCCAATCGCCATGAGTGGTATGGACTCTCAGTCTCGTCGCTCACTCGGGAAATACTGTAACCTATCGACTGAGACGAGAAATTGAGCATGGGCTAGAAAAAGGACCATGAAGCCTCCGTCATCCAGGAGTGCATTCAAGACTGAGAGGTCATGTCTTGGGAAGATGGAAGTAAAAATCCTTTGATTCAAGAGTCCTTGCAACAATTGCGAGCGGTGAAAGTATATCGTTGTGTCCTGCTATGCCATACTCCCCTTCGCATCGGTAAACACAATATTCGATTCACCTCAGAATCCCAGAAGGAAGAGGGCATGCACTGTCTCGGGGTGTGCCAATAATCAGACTTGTTGATTCAGACACACTGCTTTCAAGAGGTCCGGAGATTCTTCTTCAGTTTCGGGTGTTGACATTCCACTTCTTGAGATATCACATATCGAGTGCCAAGCTCCAAGAATTCGAGGCATTTCCGTCATCTCGGATCTCCAAAGCAGTTTCAAATATGTACATGAAGTATCGAGCATCTACGGACCAGAGAACCCTGGGTCTTGTAGAACTCCCTCCCTTACCCAGTCGTATCAAGTACATTTATTCACTGCGTCATCTGGGCACAAAGTTTTCTCACCTTCTTCCCCTTGAAGAACAAGACAACCCCCAGCAAGCAGAATGCCGCACTCACAGCAGCATATATCCCGAACGTCTTGACCGGTCCAATGTTGGCAATGTACGTCGTCGTGTGCTTGCTGAGTCCAAAGCCCACCAGACCGCGCGTCACCGGCAGCGCGACGAGAATAGCGCCCGCGAAGCTCGGGTGGCTATCGATGAGATACGCCGTCCCGACCGTGCTGACGCCCATCAGCACAATGAGGTAGCCGTCGACGACGGAAACGATGGCCATCCAGTGATACCGCACCGGGTTCTTGAGCACGTACCCGTACAGAACCGTCAGGATCAGAGCCGTCACCATGGGCAGGATCCAGGCGATGAGTCGCTTCTCCGGCTCATGGACGCCGTGGTTGCGACGCGCGGAGGAGCGGATGACGTAGTCGCTCAGCCAGCCGATGAGGGGCACGCAGAGAAGTGCGATGAGAACTTGGCCGAGCTGGATGAGGGATACCGACGTGTTGGCCCAGTTGTAGGGGGGTTTGACGAGGACTTCTGCGTAGGTCATCTGGATCGAGACGTCGATGCCTTGGAAGAGCCCGTTGTTGATGGCGACCCAGAGGACGTGGGGGAAGAGAAAGACTTGTCCGATTTGTTTGAGGCAGAGCCAGCACCGGGACCAGGTGGGCTTGTACACGAAGATGCGCAGGTTCGAGGTGAAGGTGCGTTCCTTGAAGTGTTCCAGGTCGGCGGTGGGCCTCTCGTCTACTGTTGCGTACTTTGGTCCGGGGGACCGGCTCCTACTGATGGGGTCCGGGCCGGTGTTTTGCACTGCCGGTAAGAGGTTGCTCCTATCGGTCGGATGGCTTCCCATGAACGCCTCGATGGGCCGGTCATATGCGGTTTCGGGGACGAAGAAGAAGGTGAGAATCATGGCTAGGCCGGAGAGGCCTGCGAAGAGCCAGTACCAAGACCTCCAGCCTAGAGCATCGGCCATGTATGAGGATGCGATTACCAGACTGGAGTTGAGAAGGACTTCGGCGGAGGCATAGATCTGAAATACGCGTGCCCGTTGGTGAAGAAAGTAGATATCCTGGAGTAAACCAAAGTCAGAACCTATAACACCAGACTCACTGTCCAAAGAGCTCGTACCTGTAGGATAAGCAAAGCCAAGGCCTGGCACTGAGCTGCAGCGAACGCTGCGACCATACGCCCTCCTAGGTGCCAGTAATAGTTGCGATTCGTTGCGCACAGGACAGCGGCGAGGAAGAGCAGCACATTTGATGCTAGTATGACGGGACGACGGCCTATAGCTACGGCGATCGGCATCGACACGAGATTTCCGAGACCAAGGAAAAGGTTCGGAAATGTGAAGAGATTTGAGATCTGATCCGGCGTAATTCCATCACGTTGGTAGTCGGGCATAATGAAAACGATGAGTGCGGATAGTGCGGTGATGAGGCATAGACCGGATATTGCGTCTGTACGCACCTCGTGTAAGTCAAGTCATTTCACTCTGAAGTTCACGGTGACTTACACAGGACAATAATGCCTATGATGAGCTGTTTGTGCCATTTTGGTAGGTTCAGAGGGTCTGCATTTCTCGTGAGTCGAGTGATTGAGACTAACAAAAGAGAAGCAGATCATCACCATACCTCTCGGGTCCGCGCTCGGCGTGGGAATGAGAACCACTTGGCCTCCTATGGTGAGAGTAGCTGTCCCGTCAAAAAATCTAGGCCGCATCTCGTCCAACTTTGGCGTACTCGTGACGTTGTCGTCACCGTCGTTGCTCTTTTCATAGTTCTTTTCCACGTCCACATGCCCGACAGGCGGCTTGGCCGAGTCTGACACTTTGTCTAGGCCGTCCATCTTTGGCAAGAGTCCGAGGGGAGGGCCCGGGCCAGCACTATATCTGAAGTGGATCACTTTTATTTCCGCTTTAGGAAGGAGGCCGAATCCACCCGGAACCTATTCTGAGGTTGTCGCAACGTCGTACGAAGAGAGCGTCGAGCTGGTTTGGCGGTGAGTACGCATGAGCCAACTTCTCCCCTCTTGTTGTGGAAGATCGTGTCATCTTTATTGTCTTGATTTCTGAACCTCAACTACAACTGCCGCCGCACCGTTCCCTATCCCCCGCATCAGGGTTGCTTTCGTCGTCTGATAGAAACCTGCCGTTTCTGAGGGGCCAGTTTGACGTTCCGTTCATGAATGAGAGATCTAAGTCTAGTGGAAAGTCTGTACGGCGTGGTCAGCCAAAGTATGAATGCGCACTTTACAACCCTTACAGTTGAGACGGCGGAACATCGCTTACCTCGACGGTTACACGATGGCTAGGACATGGTCTCCAAATGTGTAGTCGACATGTGAAGCGCAAGACGCAATATTTGGTCGACTTATGCAATACTACGCTGCCGTAATGAAACCACTTTACAAGCTAGAATTTAAAGTTCGTACGCAACACTGAGGGGCCAATCTGATACGCCTCTCGACGCCAAGGGTCCTCCATGAAGCCGAACAATCCGGACTTCGTTCAGACTCTCTGCGAGATGGGATTTTCCCTACTTGCCATCCCCCTTTCTGATGTTGTTGTCTCCGGCATAGAGAAGACAAAGCAGCGAACAGCGTTGACAACGTATCGTGTTTCTTTTTCGTAGTCTGCCGCATACAGGATTTTGGCCGAACCCAGTTTGTATACTTTTCCAGACCAAACCACCGCCGATTGTCACAAGGGAAAAGATCAGCAAGCTCTCGCGACATTGACGGGGCTCTACGTCACGTCCGAACGACCTACTCAACAACACAAAAAAAAAGTATGCCGTCAAACCAGCTCGGCACCGTACAAGGCCCGCATCCTGCCGAAAAACAGGCCGTCGAGAGTTCAGAATGGCGGTCTTCGGACGACAAAACCCCAGAAGAAGTCACCTGCTTCTTAATGGAAGAGCATGAGGATGCGGATGCGGAAGCAACTGCCGATCAAAGCCTCGCGCCAAAGACGTCCCAACTGGAAAAGCGTGAACCCTTCGACCCGGTCTTGTGGTCGTCTAGGAAGAAGTGGACGCACGTCTTGGTGGTAGCGTTCATCACCTGCGTCACGTAAGTGGCTCATCCCACCCTGTCCACATGGTTGACATGCAGCGGCGCATTTTCTTGGGGAGAAGCTTTCCGCGCCGCTGCTACCGCGAGAAAACTAAAGAACCAAAAAACGCTAACGACAACGGCGCTTCCCCCCCCTCCAGACCCTTGGCTTCTGCAGTCTATACCCCCGCGTTGGACCAGGTGATTGACGACTTCAAGATCGAGGACAACCCCACGCTAGCGGACCTGACAGTCTCGGCCTACGTCCTCGGCTTCTCCGCCGGACCGTTACTTCTCGCGCCGCTGAGCGAGACGTTTGGTAAGAAGCCCGTCTACCAGGTCTGCAATGTGGTTCTGCTCGCGTGTAACTTGGCCTGCATGGTCGCGCCGTCGGCTGAGTGGCTCATTGTCTTCCGATTCCTGGCGGGGTGCGCCGGCGCGAGCCCGATTACCCAGGGTACCGGGACGGCGACGGATGTCATGACCAAGGAGAAGCGTGCGCGCGCCATGTCGGTTATGGCATTCGGGAGTGTTTGTAGTCCTGCAATTGGGTCGGCCCTCGGGGGCGCGATTGCCCAGGCTTGGGGATGGAGAGGTTGCTTTGGGTTTCTTGCTGTGATGGTAAGCTACCTTCTTTCCTAACGCCGTCTTCGTGAGAATCGTTTCATGGAGGAAAAAGGCGTCCTGGGAGGCTTCGATCAAGGACCAAGGGCTGCGTTTTGAGTCTCCAACAACGTGTGTGAACCCTGAGTGACATGCTGACAAGTGAGACAGGGCTTGATCAGCACTCTTCTGACTTATCAGTTCATGTGCGAGACATATCTCCCGGTCCTTCGGCGAAAGTACGCTGTGTTAGGCAGTCCCGATGACCTCGAGATGGAACTGAGCGATGAGAAGACCATTGCCCCGAAGCAGTCTCTCAGAAAGCTGCTCTGCAAGGCCGCGATCCGCCCGTTCTCCCTCATCTTGGAGCCGAGCATCCTGCCGGCTATCCTGGTAACATCGTTCTTCTACGGCCTCCAGGTGTGGTTGTACATTGACGTTCCGATGACATACAAGGCAGTGTACTCCTTCAACACCGCAGAAGCAGGCCTGGCATTCGCGGGCATGGGTGTTGGCATGTTCACCGGTCTTCTCATCTTTGGTTTTCTCACCGACGTCGTCGTGAAGAGGTTGGCTCGCGGCGGGGAGAGGCTGCCCGAGCACCGGCTCCCACTTCTCAATCTGGCAGCTATCCTTGTCGTGGTCGGTCTGATCATCTACAACCTGGCTGCCAGGCCTGGAGTGTCCTACCTGGTGCCCCTGCTTGGAAACTACCTTATTGGCAGTGGATTGTTCGCCATCACCGTGAGTTCCCATAATATCTCAGTCCCAGTACGGGTACTCCGTAGAGAGTCAGATATGTGACCGGAGACCGAGCATCGGGGGCACGGAATCCGAGGCCACCTGCGAGAAGATCCAACAATAACTGACTTGAGCCTTGTAGATGACTTCGGCTGTGTACATCATCGACCTGTCACCTCAGCACGCTGTTGCATCGAGCGCGTCGCTTGCACTTTTACGATACCCCTCTGGAGCGTTGTTCCCCCTGTTAGAGCATGTTTTCGAATCTCTCACCAGCAACAGTAGCGCCAAGTGGCTCATCACGGCGGCGTCTGTCTCCACCATCCCACTTGTGGTTTGGCTACAATACAACTGCGAGCGGTTTCGGGCGAGACTCCGGGACTCATTGTGAGCAGCGATGTGTTATTGATACTTGTTGAGCCTGTACCATTTAACAAATGATACCCTTGCGCGAGGCTTTGGTTGTTCGCAAGTCAGCTTTGTTGGAAAGAATATTCTTATAAATGATGGATGCGTGTTTGGACTTGGGCAGACTTTGGATCTCGAAACATGTTCTTTGGGCATTAGAGATAGAAAAAGATAGATAAGCAAGTAGATGTTTAGAAACGAACAAATGGCATTTCACTTCCGCCGACAAAAATCAGGATGGAGGGATGTTCAGAGTCGAGTAAGGTAGGTGTCGGGAAACGCTACGGTAAGGTACATGGTAAAGGTTAGTGGAAGAAACGGTTATGGCCTTATCTCCAATATCTCCATAGAAGCATATGCGAGTCACGTCACTGCCTTACATAAGCCATGGCGCAAACCTGGAGCCTTCTGTCTGCTCCATCCGAGCGGCGAGCAACCAATGACATCGACACTATTCGTTTGGGAGATGGCAGCCCGTGGAACTGGATTACGCTAATCCTAAATGAAACCAATTATATCGTCACGCGGCTCGCACATCAAGCTGGGAAATAGGTTGACCAACGCTTTCCCCACGTGTTGCAGCCACCAGGAAATCGCGGGATGCTATTCAAGTAGCTTAAACACCATTTCGACCCTTTGAACCAGCTTCGCGATACCGATACCAATCGCCCGATAAGAAGTCGCACGCGACCCTTCTGCCACCATACCGCCCCCAGCAGATCTTCGTAATCCCTCCTCTACCCACCAAGCAGGCACTGCAAGCCCACAAGTCCTAATTGACCTCGATAAACCTTCTACAGGCCTTCGGGAACGGGGAGGGAGCTCCACCAACAGTAGCAGCAACTCCACCGTTGCTCAGGTTGAGAGCTACGAGCTTGCCGACTACAAAAACATCTCCGCTCAGAAGGCCGCAAAGGACCTTGACGCCCGACGAGAAGAGAAAAAACTTTGGAAGAGACGGTGGCTCGACGAACAGGACGATATGAAGTTCTCACACAGCATCCAGTTCAATGCTGTTCCGGACTGGAGCAGTCATTACATTGCCTACAGCAACCTAAAGAAGCTGTGAGTACCCAGCGCCTCCTCTGGCCGCGCCATGTCCTTAAGACCTAGGTGACTAACTAACTCTGCGTTGCAGTATCTACCAACTCGAGAAGACAGTCCACCAAACCTCCACAGGCGACGTCGAATCAAGACCTCTTATTCGAAACGAAGAACCCGAAGATGTGTTTAGCCGTGCGCTTGGTGTAGAATTGGAGAAGATTTGCTCCTTCTACGTATCCAAGGAGGGCGAGCTCCTCGACGAAGTCAATCAACTCTTGGGAGATGTTGGCAACCACTCGTCAGAGGACGACGAAAACGATGGCGAACCCAGACGTTCATTCGGCAGCGCCTCTCGGCCGGGACTTTCCGTCAACGGAAGGAGAACTTCCGTCTCGATTGATGGCAACATGGAGGATAGTGACGATGATGAGGACGATGATGAAACCACCGGCTTGACGAAGAGTCGCTCAAGCCTTGGCGGCGGCAGACGCAAGACTGCCCCGAATCTGGGCCACTCGGTCACCGATATGACTGCTTCAACCGATCTGACGCTGGGAAGATCGCTGCGGCGGTACAGCACGGCGAATGACGAGATGCCGGATCAGACCTTCCTCTATTCCTCAGGCATCATGCTTAAGAAGCGCATCATCAGCCTCTACGTCTCGCTCTGCGAGCTCAAGTCGTACGTGCAACTGAACCGGACGGGTTTCAGAAAGGTCTTGAAGAAATTCGATAAGATTCTCGACAAGGAACTGCGGGTCAAGTACATGACTGCCAACATCGACTCAGCGTACCCCTTCAAGCCGGAAAACATCAAGAGTATCGAGGAGAACATCTCCAAGATGGAGAAGGCGTACGCCGAGATTGTGACTCAAGGCGACGAGGGACTTGCCAAGCGAGACCTGAGATCTCACCTCCGCGAACACGTTGTTTGGGAGCGTAACACTGTCTGGCGAGACATGATTGGTATGGAGCGTCGCGCAGAGGCTGCGAGCTTGGGCAGAGGGCTCCTGGGAAGGGACGGAGCGACGGGATCCAGGCGGTTGCAGGGCGATGATGAGCTTGCCCCAATCACCAAGGAGGTGGTCACTCCCGTAGGCCGTTTTGTTGTGCCGACGTGGGTTGCCAACACGCCTCTGCTCACTCTCTTGATTGCTGTCGGCGTTTTCCTCCTTCTCCTTTTCCTCCCCATCATGGAGAAGCCCGAGCAACAGAACTGCTTGGCGTTGCTTGTGTTTGTCAGCATCCTTTGGGCTACGGAGGTGAGTTCTCTCTGGATTGAATGCAAATGGTCGATGCTAACCTCAAGATAGGCCATTCCGTTATTCGTTACGTCGCTCATGATACCCTTCCTCTGCGTCGTTTTGACTGTCGTTCGCTCTGAAGAAAAGCCCTACAGGAGGCTTGATGCCAAGGCCACCACGGCCTACATCTTCTCGGCCATGTGGACACCCGTCATCATGCTTCTGCTCGGTGGATTCACTCTGGCTGCGGCTCTGTCCAAGTGCAAGATTGACAAGCGACTCGCGACGTTTGTCCTTAGCAAGGCCGGAACCACTCCACGCACTGTACTCATTGCCAACATGCTCGTTGCGGCGTTTGCTAGCATGTTGATCAGCAACGTAGCTGCGCCAGTTCTTTGCTTCTCTATCATTGAGGTTAGTTTTCCTTCGCCCTCTTCTTTTTTGATATCACCACTGACTTGTGCTGCAGCCCATGTTGCGAACTCTGCCCTCGGAATCAAACATGTCCAAGGCTGTCATCATGGGAATCGCGCTCGCCTCCAACATCGGCGGTATGCTTTCCCCTATTGCCTCGCCGCAGAATGTTGTCGCTATTGGTATCATGAAACCCGCGCCTACCTGGATCCAGTGGTTCTTCATCGTCATCCCTGTCGGCATCGTCTCGCTGCTCCTCATCTGGATCTTGCTATTGATCACATTCCAACCGAGCAAGGGAACCACCATTGCTCCGATCCGTCCTGTGAAGGAAAAGTTCACAGGCATCCAATGGTTCGTCTCCATCGTCACGCTCATCACCATTGGCCTGTGGTGCGGTAGCCACCAGATGGAGTCCATCTTTGGTGACATGGGTGTTATCGCCATCATCCCCATCGTCCTCTTCTTTGGCATTGGTATCTTGACCAAGGAGGACTTCAACAACTTCCCGTGGACCATCATCATTCTGGCTGCCGGAGGTTTGTCTCTAGGTAAGGCCGTCAAGTCATCTGGCCTTCTGCACACTGTTGCTGGCGTCGTTACCAAGGAGGTCGAGGGTATGAGTCTCTACGTTGTCCTCGTCGTCTTCTCAGCCCTTATCCTCGTCATCGCCACTTTCATCAGCCACACGGTCGCAGCTCTGATTATCCTGCCGTTGGTGTTTGATGTTGGCTCCAACATGGACGAACCCCATCCGAACTTGTTGGTCATGGGTGGTGTTTTGATGTGCAGTGCCGCCATGGGTTTGCCTACAAGTGGTTTCCCCAACATGAGTGAGTTACTTCAGCTTCCCCAACACCGGCAGATTACTGACCAACGATCCAGCTGCTATTATGAAGGAAGACCCGACGGGCCAGAGATACCTCCAAGTGAAACATTTCATCAGCAGAGGTGTGCCCAGCAGTATTCTCACATTGGTCGTCGTCGTGTCCTTGGGATATGGCCTCATGAGGGTCGCTGGGCTGGACTAAAGGTCTTGTCTTTACGTGGCCGCTACGTACAGGCATTTGGTCGTTGATTTCTGTATCGTATGCCTGAAAGGAAAGAATGCTGGGCTGCGTTTCCTTCGATTTGTTTGAAAAAGGGCATAAATCCAAAGGGTCTCCAAAGGGAAGCCTGCGGTCGGAACATAGACACCGGTTCACATATTACACTTGGCTTTTCCCTGGTTTCTGGTTGGTAGCTTTTACTGCTCTCATTTTGTATGTAAGGTAGACTGGAGTAAGCGATAGAATGGTACTGCAATGCGTTTACTCAGGCAAGGACCAGGATACACATGCAGGTATCTGCTGAATATCCCAACTTCAGCTGATGCCTTCTAAATTGCAAGTGGAATGGTGAGATGTTCTGACGTAGTGAACATGAAATGATGTTGAAAGTAAGCTTCTATGCATGTGACGCCAATATGCTCTGCGAACCCCGGTAAGCCCGCCAGCCAATCAGATTCTGTAAACAGCACAGGTTGAAGGAGGTGGAGACAGGTTGCTCCAGGTGGAAGGGTGGCAGCGACGCTAGTCCGGATTGGGCAGAGAAAGAGGTCATCGGCTCCCTTGTGGAGACTTCGCCCTGACGTACCGCCAGACGGCGCATTTCGCCCAGCCATACCCGAACCGATACCTGGAGCTCAACAATCTCTCTCACACACGCGCGCCGTCATGATTGCATCTTGACGCTCTACTGTGACAAACTAGGCGCTCCCTCTACGAAACACCCTTCTGATGAGGGTATAGTAAACACACAGAATATTCGCTCGGTGAGCTGGCAGTCGCCATGCTTTCGGCATTTACAGCTCGGCCGATCATAGAGCTAAAGCAACGGGATAAGTCCAAGATTGAGACAATCCTCGCGCATGGTGCGCTCCTCCCGAGTCGCATAATTCTCACCAGAGCAGCCTCATCTAATGAATTGACGTAGGCGATCGTGTTTTCGTAGGCCTTAACAGCGGAGCTCTTCGCATCTACCGCCTCAACGAGCTACCGCCTCCGTCGCCGACCCAGGCCAATGGCTCCTCTGAACCTACCACGGCGGGTTCGCAAGACGCAACCGAAACCAACCCGACGACAGAACAGCCGAAGAAACCTACGGACCTGCTGCGCGAGGTAGAAAAGTTCTCGAACAGGGCCATTGAGCAGCTCGCGGTGATCAAAGAGGCAAACACTCTTGTGTCGTTGTCGAATTACTACGTATCCCTCCATGACCTCGGAACCTATGAGCCCCTGGAGACTCTCTCGCGAACGAAGAACGCCACCTGCTTTGCCGTCACATCAAATATCGTGAAAGATGCAGCAACCGGAATACCAGAGATTATAAGTCGCCTGGCGGTGGCTGTCCGTCGTCGATTGCTGCTATGGAGCTGGCATGAAAGCGAGCTGAGCGCCGACGTTGGGGAAGTCACGTTACCGGAATCGATACGAACCGTCACATGGGCCAGCGCGACAAAGATCGTATGCGGAATGAACGCGGGATACGTTTTGGTCGACGTAGTCACCCATGAGGTCGAAGATATCAACAGCCCAGGCTCCGCGGCGTCAGGCGGGCAGGCTAGTCGTTTCGGAGCGGTGAGCAGCGCTGGAATGGGCTATATGGGCCTCGGAGGGTACATGCCCAAGCCGCTCGCTGCGAAGCTTGCCGAAGGCGAATTGCTGCTGGCCAAAGATATCAACTCCATGTTCATTACGGACGAAGGAAAGCCGGTTGAAAAACGACAGATTCCTTGGCAAGCGGCTCCTGAGCAGATCGGCTACTCGTACCCATACATCCTGGCCTTGCAAGCTCCGTCAAAAGGCTCGCTTGAAGTTAGGAATCCAGAGACGTTGCACCTGTTGCAGACCATACCCCTTCCAGGCGCGGCGCAACTTCACTTTCCGCCACCTAATGTCAGTCTCGCCCACGCGGGTAAGGGGTTTCACATCTCCAGCGACCGATGTGTGTGGAAAATGGGGGCTACCGACTACGATTCACAAATCGATGAGTTGGTAGAAAAGGGCAAATTTGACGAGGCCGTCAGCATCCTTAACATGCTTGAGGACGCCCTCCTCCGGAACAAGAAGGAGACTCTCCGGGAGGTCAAAATGCTCAAGGCTGAAATGTTGTTTAAGCAAAAAAAGTTTTACGACTCGATGGATCTTTTCAACGAAGACGATGTTCACGCACCGCCTGAGCGAGTTCTCAAGCTTTTCCCGCCATCCATTGCCGGGGAGATGTCTGGTTGGGCGCACGGAGCGCAACCGGATGAATCGGGTAGCGATGAGAAGGAGAGTGAGGAGGAACCGCAGCAGAAAACAAATGGGGATAAGGCCAAGGAAGATGCAGCGGAAACACCCGCATCCCCGGCAAAAGGAGGCGTTGGCTTTGCGAAGTTATTCATGGGCTCTCGCAAACAGGTGCAACCAGATGCTGCTTCGATCATATCCAAGAAAGACGCGACAGATGTCGAAGAGACTGGGAGCATCAGAAGCAAACCCACAGAGAACCTACCGCTTGAGGGCGAGGAGCTCTTGGCTGCTGTCACATCTCTGGCTGGTTATCTTGTCGGAACAAGAACGCGTCTACAAAGGGTCATCGACCCGAGCACTGGCAAGCTGAAGCGGACAGATACCAATGGCTCCAATGAAGAGACAATGAAGAGCTTCATGTCCGGCTCGCACGATGATGAATCGGGGAGCCAACTCGAGGGAGAGATCCGGAGGACGTCGCGAATTGTCGACACCGCTTTGTTCCGGACTTACATGATGACCAGGCCTGCTCTAGCTGGGCCCCTTTTCCGTCTCCCGAACTTTTGCGATCCAGACGTCGTTAACGAGGCACTGCTTTCACACAGCCGATACAACGAGTTGGTTGACTTCTTCAGCGGCAAGAAGCTTCACTCGCAGGCGCTTGAGCTTCTTAAGCGCTTTGGAACTGCCGAGACACCGGACGAGGCTGCACCAGGCTTGCATGGGCCACAAAGGACAGTTATCTATCTTCAGACGCTACCGCCGTCTGAGATTGATCTCATCCTGCAGTACTCGGAATGGACCTTGAGAGCGGATCCAAAGCTGGCCATGGAAGTGTTTATCGCAGACTCTGAAAACGCCGAGACGTTACCCCGTGGCCGGATCGCTCGCTTCCTGGGCGGGATTGATCCAGGATTAGAGGTGCAGTACCTGGAGCACATCATCTCCGAGCTTGACGAGTCAACTCCGGATTTCCACAATCGTCTGGTCGAGCTGTTTATCAAGCATTTGAAGGAAAAGAAACGGGACGATGAATGGGATGCAGAAATGGATCGTTTCGTGCAGTTCCTCAAGACCAGCAGCCAGTACAGTCTTAGCAAGGCATTCAGCCTCATCCCACGCGACGGTAAGTGGATGCCCCTCGATGGCTTGTATCAGTCACAACTAACACGGTCAAGATCCTGCTTTCTACGAAGCTCAAGCCATAGTGCTGAGCAACATGGGCTCGCACAAGCAGGCACTGGAAATCTACGTCTTCAAGATGAAGAACTACGCGAAAGCCGAAGAGTGAGTACCGCATCTCTAGTGGTATACGACCGTAGCTAATCACTTCTTTCAGGTATTGTAATATCGTACATAAGTCCAGAGACTCTAGGCCTTCGTCTCCAGACCAGTCACGACGCCCATCATCAGCAGGTGATCCCGAGGATTCGGCTCCATCTATTTACCACACCCTTCTTTCGCTATACTTGACTCCACCGCCACCCCATAAACCAGCACATGACCCGGCTCTCGAGCTACTGTCGAGGCACGGATCGCGTCTACCGGCAGCATCAACTCTCTCTCTGATTCCTGACGATCTTCCTGTTCGCGATCTCGAGTCATACTTCCGTGGCAGAATTCGGTCTGCTAACAGCGTCGTGAACGAGTCGCGCATCGTAGCTCGGCTGCGAGACACGGAGCTGGTATCGACGCAAGCTCTCCTGCTCCTTGGCGACGGCATACCGGGCGGTCAGGGTGGGCGCAACAGAAGGGTGACGATCACTGAAGAGCGGCTATGCGGCGCTTGCCACAAGAGGCTGGGGCGAAGCGTGGTGTCGGTTCTTCCGGACAACAACGTGGTCCATTATGCGTGTTTCAACACGGCGACGTCGCAGCGACCGCAAAGCTCTCGGGCAGGAAACTGGGCTCGGAGGTTTTCGTGATCGAGGATTGGCAAGAAACGGGCGGACGGGCTGTCGAGCGGTAGTTTGAGGCGTTTTGGTGTCGTTGCTTGTGTTTTTGTTCTTGGTACATATTGGTACTCGCATAGCCTTGGGTTTTTGAGAGCGGCAGCATGATACAGCAATACCCCGTATATAGGTGGCACAGAATGTACGATTGGCGCCGTGAAAAAGACAACAACAAATACAAACAAAAACGAGATGTTTGCTTGTTTATGTTCCCTCCCGCCCTTTTGATTCAGTCGTCTGAGGGGGGTGCTTCCTCGCCGTAATTCTCCTCCTCGAGCGCCTCGTCGACGGCCAACTTGGTTGCGGTGGCGCCACCGTTCTTTGCGGCCTCCTTGGCCTTATCCTCTTCCATACGGGCAGTGAGTTCCTTGTTGATGTGCTCCTGGGCGGCGTTGATGGACTTGCGCAGGGCGTTGAGGTAGGCGGACTTGTCGCCGGGCGCGGAGGATGGCGGGGCGGGGAGGGATTCGGAGAAGGTAAAGGGTTCGTTTGTGGGGGATTGGTAGGTTGCTGAGAAGTGCAGGGCCGGAGCGGCGGCGGTGCTGTTTGTGTCTGCCATTGTTTATTGAGTTGGGGATGTCGTGGTTTCGTGGGTTGGATGGATGGCTACACTGTTGTTGCGATATGTTGATTTAGATGATGCCAAAAACAAGGGAAATAAAAGGTATGACGAAAATTGAGTGCGGCTCGTTGGGGTTGGCTTGGAAAGAACAATTGCCCCTCCCTCCATCCATTCCAGCTGGCCCCAATCCAATGTCCCGCTGAAGATGGAACCTGGAACAACTGCGGGGTTGATTACACTAA